AAGTTCGTTGTGCAGTCACATAAAAAAAACCCCATGATTTAAAACATAATAAACCCAATTTCAATACAAGTTTTTTCTTGTATAACTGAGCTCTGAGACTTGTAAGGGCAGCAATGAATGAATTATAAAAGACCATCAAGGTTAAGGATATATCACTGGAGACTGACTATCATCAACAATGTTCTTGTATTGACAATCACCATGTATGGGGTGTGAATGCTAGAGAATAAATAAAAGCTGGCAGAGAAAAATGCATTTATTCTCCACATGGTGCTGGAAGCGAGCTTTCCAGACACCCTGTACTGCCAGAAAGATGAAACCTGAAGTATCTATGGAGGCAAAAATGTTAAAACTGAGGCTGTCCTACTTTGGGCACATCATGACAAGGTAGGAGTCACCGGAAAAGACAATAATTTTGGGGAAGGTTGAAGGCAGCAGGAAAAGAGGAAGGCTAAATATGAGATGAATTGGGTTCCTAAAGGAACCACAGGACTGAGTTTGCAAGAACTAAGCAGGGTGTTGAGGACAGGACATGTTGGGAATCTCTCATTCATAAGTCGGAAGTGGCTTTACAGTCCCTAATAAGAACAACTTCGGAGAGCAGCTATCTAATGATTTTTCACACGTAAGCCCAATTGTTTCACTCTGATGCACAGATTTCTCTGTCCTTCATAAATTACTATAAATAAAATTTGCCATTATGACCACTTCAGAGATAATGATGAGGAATCCTGTCAGAAGTGGTCCTCAACCATTTGAACATTTTTAAAACTGGGCTTAGTTAGCACAAACAACACTTAGCTCCAAATGGGACCCAATAGGAAAGATGGTGGAGAAGAGGGAGTGCACATACAATTTTTTTAAATGCTCATAAATACTTTTTAATATATTCTTCCTCTTCTTACTGGAGAACGTTGGAAGGCCCAACTGATATGGAAAATCATGATGAGACATAAGGAAACGGACATCTTCTAAATTATGCTGACCAAGTTATTTTATCACTTGTGCAATGAAATATCCAGAACGTTCACCTAAAAGATCAATGTAATTAAGATGATGTGGAGGATAGAAAGAATTTCATTCAGAGTTTTCCTTGGAGCCACTTGACGCTGATTCTCACACAAATTACTGTATATCAAAGCCCAAACATTCTGGGAAAGAAAAATACATCTTGCTCACCGTAAAAGGGCCAAGGTATGCTATGAAGCCAGCTGAGGTCAGCACATCTCCTGCAATATTGTTGATCAGGTAGTCCAGATTTTGAACAGTCTCCTGCCACCGCACCCTTTCATCAGCCAGACCATTAATTAACTAGAAGAAAAGTACACAACAATTTCCATTCATCTTCTTTCCCAAGGAGGCCTTTTTCTACCCACCAGACTAAGGGTGAACACATAATAGGAGGGAAACAAGATAGAAAGAAGTCTTATTTCATTTTCTTATATGAGCCTCACTATACTCACATAAACATAATACAGTTTGCCATTATGACCATTATTACACTAGTTCAGAAGTCAGGAGATGTCAGATTTTGCAGCTGGATGACAAAACTTTACTTGGGATTAGCATTACAAATAGTCTCCGTTCACTACCTTGTCAGCCCGACCCAGTCTCTGCTCACACTGTTCACATTTCATTTCCAGCTCCTCTTTTGTGGCTAAGGTGCCCCTGTATTTGGCCTGAAGATGGGCAATGCCCTCCTCCACTTCTCGGAGACGTTCCTTAGCCTCGTCAAGGATCCTCTGTGTGGCCTGCAGGTCTTCTTCAGCCTCTCTCAGGGCTTGCTGCAGAAACAGAAATATTTGTGAATAAGACGTTCTGCTAATCTGCTTGTCATTATCCCCAACCTTTTCTTAAGAAACTTCTACATTTTTTAAAAAGGCAACAGGCTTCTTTTGCTCTTAGTTGCATGTACTAGACAACTCTGAAGGAACAAGCACTGAGGTAGTTCTTACTCGCTTCGGCTCCACTGCTTTTGCCACGAAGTGGTATTTATGCATTGCCCTGACCCACTGGCAGATGGACGTGCAGGCTTTGGACACTTTGGCTATGGCTGCTGGCTGAAATTCTTCACTGTCGATATATGGCTGGATTAATTTAATGATGGTATCTGCAATGTTATCCTGAAACGAGTTAAACAGATGAGGAGCATGAAGGCCTGAGAATTCAGGAGAATCAGCTATGAGGCACAGCAGAAGGGGGAAAACAGTGCTTTGTCAATCAAAACATTAGCCCCATTGTACTTTATTCTATTCTATTTCCATTGACTCGTCAAGCTAATTCATTCCATCAAGATGGTTTAAGACCATGAGGTGATCAGTTTAATATATGGGTGGTGCCAAATTTCGGTATTATGTTATTAAAAACATTTCACAAATGTTGCATTCCCTATTTCACACCGATAGACTCACCATCATAATATGTGTAACACTGGGGAGGGGCGAAGCAACAGGCAGCAAGAACAGGGGAATTCCCAGGGCTCTGGGAACCCCTGGGTTTACTCCAAGTCAGTGGACTCCCCAAGGAAAGGGGGAGGAAAGGTTTCCACAGGAGAGTGGTCTTGCAGCAAGTGGAGCTTGGAAACGGCAAGATTCAGACTGCAATCTGTCTTTTAGAAGTTTCCCTTCCTATACGCAACTGACTTGTGAACATCGCCATGATGATGGTGAGTAGCTGCCCGGAGAAAGGGGAGGTATGAAGATTTACGATCTGACTGCATGAACAGAGATTAAATGTACTGCTATATTCACGGCAAGTAATAGATCAGACTTTTTTTTTGAAGGCTGATCAAGGAAAAAGATCTCAAAGTGACACAGAATTTTGGTAATCCCTGCAATGCTGGCGTTTTCTGTACTGCGTCACAGCTGAGAGAATTGGGAAAATGAAACTAACTTTGTCTTTTCTCCCTCAACTCCTCCTCCCCGAGAACTGGCTTTTCATAAACTAGAGGCTTGAGAACTTTAAATAATTCTGAACAATTTATCCTATGTGACTCTGCATCAAGCTGCAAAGGTGGATTATAAATCGAATAACATCTTTACTACGGCTGGATTTATGATTAAAGTGCTCTTCGCAGGACTCTAAGTTCAGGCTGGCTAATAAATCTTAATGGAAATCTGAGCAATTAGCCTGTTTGACTTTTATGGCTATGGACTGGAGATAGAGTGCAAGATTCATTATTGAAACCCACAATAGAGGATTATTTCAAGAGCTGTCTTCAGGAATTCCAATTGAACATTATTAATCAAATTAAGGCCCAGATCTCAGAAGTTAAGGCAGAAATTAAGGATATACTTTTTGGATCGTATGCCAAGGGAAAGAACAGGGAGACCGAAGACAAACCGATTGGAGAAACCACTGAAGAACTGGTATCATCAGAGAGAGTGACTGTTTTTCTTGGAAAGAAGGATGAAACACTGAAAAAGGAGAGTAAAAAAATAAATTTGTATGAAAGGGAGGGGCAGGTAGATGAGTGTGGAAAGTACATTAAGATTATCTTGATGGGAAAGAATGTAAAGGAGGAGGAATATGTCAGGGCAAAGCTGGATGGGGCAGAAATTTCTGACCATAGATTAGACATATATGCATGGCTAAGACAAGACATTAATCATATTGGGATGAAATTAGTAAACTGGAGAGAAAATGGTTTAAAGAGATTTTATAGATGGCATTTTAAAACTGGTAAAAAGGAGGCAAGAGGCTAATTTTAGATTTATGACACTGGAGCTGATAAGCACAATTAAAAAGGGGAAAAGTTACTTGCTGAACATAATAATAGAGATCATTGGTTTGAGAGACACATATATACATATAAATCAATATAGTTAATATACTTATCAGTAATTCTGGCCATGATTGGATTTTAATGGTAGACAAGCACATTTAATTATGAACTTAGAAATGTTAATGATGAATATAATATTAGATGCTATTGTTTTAAGGGCAATTATATAGAAATATTAAATATGTTTGAACTATAATAGTGACTATGTAGATAAGATTAGATATATATCTTCATGTCTTTAGAAATTGTGATTTTGATGATTGTGTTGTCCATGTTTGGATTTTATTGGTGGATAAGTAATCTTAACGATCAAATTAGAAATCCTTATGATGACAATTTGGGTAGAGGGGAATGCAGGTGAAAGAATTTGTAAACATTCTTATAAATTTAGGATGTTAGATATTGAATTAAATATTTGAAATAGGGATACGAAATATAATATGTGTAGATATATACGGATATACAGTGGTGCCTCGCATAGCGAGGTTAATCCGTTCCAGATTAACCTTCGCTATGTGAAAACTTCGTTAAACGGAAAGCAAAAAGCCATTGGAACGCATTAAACTTAGTTTAATGCGTTCCAATGGCTTCTGTACTCACCGTTCAGCGAAGTTCCTTCATACCGCCGCCATTTTCGCACCCTTGGTAAGCGGGGCGCGAAACTGGCGACCATTTTGGAACCACCGATCAGCTGGGAGGCGGGCTCTTTTCTTGTGTAGAGATGGTAATAGAGGGAGGTGAGTCAACGCCCAGGCCTGTGACTTGTGTTTTCTTCAGGCTGATTGTTAATCCAAAATCTTGACAGGCCTTACTAAAACAGTTCATAAGTTGTTGGAGCTCTTCAGTAGAATGGGCAACAATGGCTGCATCATCAGCAAAGAGGACATCCTACATGCATTTCATCTGGACTTTGGTCTTCGCTCTCAATTTGGAGAGATTAAAGAGCTTTCCATCTGATCTAGTCCGGAGATAGACATCTTCTGTTGCCATTCCAAAGGCATGCTTCAGCATGACAGCAAAAAGATCCCAAAAAGGGTTGGTGCGAGGACACAGTCCTGTTTCACTCCGCTTCAGATGTCAAAGGGATCTGATGTTGAGCCATCTAAAACTACAGTGCCTTTCATTCCATTTCCTCATGGAAGGACCTGGTGATGTTAAGGAGTCGAGGTGAACATTCAATCTTGGGAAGTATTTTAAAAAGGCCATACCTGCTAACCAAATCAAAGGCCTTTGTGAGATCTATGATATTAAATATGTCTGAACTACAATAGTGACTATGTAGATAAGATTAGATATATAATATCTTTTTATCTTTAGAAATGGAGGTCTTTGATGATTGTACTGGCCTTGTTTGGACTTTATTGGTGTATAAGTAATCTTAAAGATGAAATCAGGAATGTTTATGATGAGAATTGGATAGATGGAAATGCAGGTGAAAGAATTTATAATTTTTTAAATAAATTTACGATGGCAGATACTGAATTAGATATTTGAAATAGAGATACAGGGCATAAGATCTGTTTGTAGTCAGAATTATATAATGGATAAGTTTGAATGGGAAATATCTCCCCACCTATATGTTGTGTCTGTCTTACGTGTTTTTGATTGCCTTATAGGTTTTTGTTTGTTTTTGTATGTACATATGTGTTAAAAAATAGTAAAATTTAATTTAAAAAATGTGTAACACTGAAGTCTTCAAGAAGTCTCCAGTTTATGAATGTAGGATATTGTGTTTCTATGCCCACAATTCAAACACCAGGAAATGGCCTGATTATGCTGCACAATATTGTGCCCATACTGCCAGCAGGAAAAAGAATGCCAAGCTTTACATAGCAAAGGACAGCCTGAATGTTGACACCAATAGCAGCAGTCAAAATGGTCTATAAGATACATTCTTGAGCTCACTACTATTCACAAAGTAGCACCAAGCAAAGGAACATCCCAGAAGCTGATTCCTATTTTTAATCAGCTGACCACTTCTCATCTAA